ATAGTGTCTACAAAATCTGATTTTTTAACCTTCTTAGCAGTTCATAAAATAATAGTCATTCTTAGAATCCATGATATCTTAGAGTTCATAGAAAAATTGTTGATTGTGGGGATTGACAAAATAGCCAAATGGCAGGAAATACTCTATAAATTAGAAAACTAAGGTAATGGTCACTTAAGTTTGCTAAGGAAAAAGTTGACATTTTTACTCGAGCTTTTTTTTTTGTCAGTAGCAGCATACATATCTCATTCACACCAGCTTATTTGAATGAAAAACCATGCATTAGTAGTAGGTTCTTTATCTCTCTATTCATATATTCATATACATTCATTTTAGAACATCCATTCAAATGCAAAGTGTGATTCCCTCATTCAAAACCCTTTTGTGGGGTCTCCACTAAGGTTCTGAGGGTAGTGTAAGAGATCCTTATTTCCTGGCTCTTGCCTTCTATTCCTGTACCATTTCTTCCCATTGCCCTGGCATGGGATCACCATCCTGCCTCTGGCTCCTATCTTTGCAGATCCCAGATTCCCTCTTGCAGTACTTTATATCATCTATTCCTTTTGTCAGCCAGGTGCATGAGCTCTCTGTGTTCCAAGCCTTTGCTCAAGCCTTTCTTCAGCTGTGAGGCCGGCCCCCACCCTCTCGTCCCTCAACTCAGAACTCATCAATTCCTTCTCTATGCCCCCCTGGACTTTGCACTTTGCTGGCTGTTTAACTTGTTGCCTTGTAAGTTTAATATGTGATCGTTTCTCTTTATCCTTCACAAAGGACTATGTTTATGCCCTGTAGTATTCAGTTCCCAGCCAAGACTTTGAAATAGAGTAAATACTCCTTCCATGTTTGTCAAATGAACAAAGAATGAGTGAATGTTGGAACATATGTGAGAGGCTGTTTATATCCTCCTTACATGGTGATAGATAGCATACCATATATACATATTATTCATGTGTTATGAGGCTAGCAATAGGTAAAATGATGGAGACACGATTAAAAATTAAAAAAATAAAACGAGGCAAAATGCCTCTCTGTTACACTTTCCTTGGGGCAACTTTCTAGTTAAAAAAAGACAAATGTGGGGGTGCCTGGGTGGCTCAGTTGGTTAAGCGACTGCCTTGGGCTCAGGTCATGATCCTGGAGTCCCAGGATCGAGTCCCGCATCGGGCTCCCTGCAGGGGAGGGAGGGAGTCTGCTTCTCCCTCTGACCCTCCTCCCTCTCATGCTCTCTGTCTCTCATTCTCTTTCTCTCAAATATATAAATAAAATCTTTAAAAAAAAAAAAAGACAAATATGTATAATCAGCTTAATATGAAATGAGAAATATAATAGTGACGTCAATTTTTAGCAAATGTGTGTGTTAATTTGCATTGGAATTGCTGCTTTCCCCCTCACAGGTGTTGTCTTTTTTCTTCACTGACCTTTGATTTGTGGCCCGTCAGACCAACAACTCCCCAATGAGTAATACTGTTTCATAAGAAATAACTAAGACTGAAGGTGCTTAGACTGTCACTCCATTTGGAAAACCTGTGAGGGCTAGATTTTAAAATACACCATGATATTCTCCTAGTGATTATTAATGAAGGATTACTCTCTATTCTCTAATTACTACAAATTATTTTCTTAAAATTATGCATGAGACTGTAGTGAGCTGTCAGTTCTGTGAAATGAGGAAATCAAACTCTAGTCACATCATAAGGGTCTTGACTCCTGGTGAACAATCTTACACTGTAGGGGATATATTAAGAATAAGGCAGAGGAAAATAATAAAAAAAAAAAAAACCTAAATGGGAAGGTGCTATTATTAGAGGTTAGGTGGGTTTTTTTTTTTTTTTTGGTTGAAATTCTATCAAGACTTTCTTGTCTGAATGTTCTTTGAAGTTGAACACTTTCTACTTACAAAAACTGGCCACTATAATTAGCTATGTTTCCATTTTAGTGGTGACCTCCTTCACCTTATCTTAAATCATATAAAAATGTAAGGCCATTCGTGAGATAAAAGGTTTACTCAAACCAATTCTCTGACCTGGATAGCATCAGTTTGGCAATCATAAACCCACAAAGAGACACCCTTGGTGCATTTTAAAGGCTATGTGAGAATTTATTTCTTTTCTATGGGAAGAGACCAGATTTTCTCTCACTTACACCCTAGAAGGTTATTACAGAATGTACTGGAGTTGAAGAGGAAGAGGAAAAAAATAGCATGGTATTAAGAGAGGCGACTGCCAATTTTGGAGCACGTACACACATGATATAAACAGCCGAGGGACGGGTGGAGTGGACATTTAGTGGCATACATTTCCTGGTTATAATCTCAACTCTGCCACTTGCAGACCATGTGGTTTTGGACAACTGACCCAATTTCCCTCAGTCTCAGCATCTGTAAAATTAGATAATACCCTTTCTGTGGGAGTGTTAAGCATGAGGGAAAAAATGTATGAAACACACACTGTTTGACACATAGTAAACTGTTAGCAACTCTGGTTTGTAAATATTATTACAGCAGTTAATATCATTATAGCAGTTTCTTGACATTTTCCGCACAGCTAGGGATTGTAGCAGCATTTTTTACTTTTGTGTAGTCCTGTGCTTCGGCTGGGGTTGTTTGCTCTGCTGTGCTTTTCAACTTCTCTGTGTCAAGCTTTCATTGCATGGAGAGATACCAAATCTTTTTTTAATTTAATTCACTTATACTTCCATTTTTTCTCACACTAAGGAAAAATACGCTAAAGAGTATTTTAAGTGAATTTAACTGGATTTACTACAGCTGACCCTTCAAGCAATAATATTTGACCCTGAACAACTGACCTATATTTTATTTAATAAATTCACACTGCAAATAAATGTAGTGAGGTAAATTGTAGAATTTTATTTTCACAAATGGCCTTTGTGAAGTGATTTATCAAAGGTACATGTAATTAGATATCAGGTTCTCCAAAACATTGCCAAGAAATAACAACAAAGAATTTAGAGCTGAACGTGATTCTTTTGCCATTGCTCTATTTCTGTGGGACTAAGGGTAAATCTCATCCAGGTACTTAAACTCTTCATTATTTCATTGAAGGACAAAGAGATGACATTAGTGGTGATAGAAGGACATGCTAATAGGAAACATTTCTATAAAGGGAAATGATGTGACTTTGCAGTACTCATTCATCAGAGGACTAAATCTGGGGCTAACTTGATGGCCTGAAGAGGAAATATCTTACCTTCTGCAGGTGCAAACCAGGGACATTTCACAAGACGTGCCAACTTTTCCTCAGTTCATCTAGCAAGCACCTGCTTCAAATTCGGCTCTGAGTAATATCTGGGCTGCCCTAATGTCAGACTTGCTGCTGTTCATGTTCATTTGCCAATGAAAATTGCATGAATTAGAATGTGTTTATTTCCTAAGGGAATTCCTTGTGATAAAAAATGCAGTCTCCTAACTCTTCTGAATAGTAGCATCAGTGCATTGCGATCTTTAGAACTATTTATTTGGGATTGCAGAAGAGGGGCAGGGAGAGAAAAATATTAGTGTTCATCATTTGGCTGCATACCTGATACATCGGCAGAATTATTGACTATTTGTGATAATTTTCGGAAGGTATAGAATTTATACTGGGTGCGCTTATAAGCAGTTTTCAAGGAAGAAATACTCAATTCTCACAAAGTCCACGCTGAATTTGAACTCATTACAAGTTCACAAGATTTTTTTAAAATAACTTTTAGAATTTTTTTTATCATTCAGAAAGTTCTTATAATTTTAGGTCCTGTTTTCCTCCGTAATTATTGTTCCTAAAGGTGGTGTGTGCATGTTCGCGTTGCACGCATACTCATCAAGGCACAGGGCTAGTCTTAATGTTATAGACACTTTTAACTCAAGTGCCCACCTTCCACTGGTATTTATTATAATGAGAGCTAAAGAAATAATCCCTTTCACGAGTATGTGCCAAACATGCATAAACTGTAAGACACCCTATTGTGCCCTATAAGTTACAGTAATTTGGGTTCAGAGGACTCCCTGCCCTGATGGGCTGAGAGAGAAAGATACAAATGGAGTATATAAAGGAAGCAGTGGCATGAAGACATGTACACACAGCAGTGCTGGGAGGCTCCAGGGTAGGGGAGGGAGGAAGGGAGATATGAGTTAATCAGGAGTTGCTATCTGGGGAAGATTGCCCAGGCCCTGACTGACGCCTGACATCGATTAATCGATATTCCATCCTAGTGTTTAACAAGTGTTTCAACCAAAAAGTCTTCTGTAATATTTAACTTCACTTCCTTCAGCTTCAATGTATGCACATTTGTTTTGTTCTCTCTTCAAGCCAGCCAGACAGTAGCCAATAACAAAATACTTTATATTCATATCTAAAGAGGTTTTTGTTTGTTTGTTTGTTTGGTCATTCTTCAGTCTTCTCTAGACTAAGGGAAAACAAACTTTTTAAAATAAATCGTTCCTCAAAAGGCCTATTTAATTTGACTGCTTAATAATTAATAAGCCTTGGCATGGTGCTTTAAGTGTTTACTCTTCGGAAAGAAGCTTAATCTTGACAGTGATGTGGTAAGAATTACTTGGTTTTATTTCAAAGCTAAATTTTGGATCCAAAGCCCAAAAGAATCCTGTTAAAATAAGAAGTTTGTAAAGTAAAATGAACGTTAGGATTACTGGGATTATTGGAGCTAACGATAGCATTTATCCATATTAATCATATTCATAAGTCCTATTTCTCATTATTGCATTTGAGATTTATTTTTTTGAAAAACAAAGTTAGTGTCTGTGTTTCTATTTAATAGTATTGGAGTAGATTTCAAGGAGATTTGGGATAAATATTTTCAACTTTACTATGTTCCACAACGACCTCTATTTCTTTTCTCTGCACCAAAGCTACCTTTTTGTGTCCCGATGTACCATGCAGAAATTGATCCGCAATACATGTGGAGTCTCCAAGGGTATATTTAAATTTAGTAATTTTATTGCCAACTGTGAAGTTAATCTGCACTGTATGTGTTCCTTTCCCCAGGAAATTGAAGTAGCAGTTCAAGCTAAACAGCCGGATGTGGAAGGGATTTTGTCTAAAGGGCAGCATTTGTACAAGGAAAAACCAGCCACCCAGCCAGTGAAGGTAATGAAGCAACCTCTAGCAATATCCATTACCTCATAATGGGTTACGCTTCCCCTGTTGTACATTTGCCATTGACGTGGTCTATTTATAATCAATGAAATAACTTGTAAAGAAATATTGTCCATACCGCAATAGCAGAGGCTGAGCTGTCTTTTTGATCAACATATCCTATTTATATATTTGTGATCTTAAGGCTATTAACGAGTCATTGCATTAAAGGACTCATTTCTGTCCTGGTGTGATGCCATCAATACAGAAAGTGGTCCCACCTTCAAGGTAGATTAAATTCTTTGAGGCTTTATTGCTTTGCTTGCCAGCCTTGATGCTTTTCATATTGTTTGGCTTAATTCGAATCAAGCTACTGCATCATACTGTCTGTCTCCAACAGCTGTAAAGAATCACAATATGGTCCGTGACCTTTCTTTTCTCTGTGACACTCTTTTCTTATGAAAGAGGAAAATTGGCATTCAGGCTCTAGTACTTTATTGGGTCAAGAATTTTTAGTGAAATGTCTGTAATTGCTTCTCTCTTTGGTAAAAAGCTGTCCAGGGAGAAAGCTTTCTCCTTCTTTCCTTTCCTCATGTACATTTTGAAGTCTGGGACACATTTATTCACAGGCTATTACACGAGGAGAGAAATGGAGAGCGAGCTCAGTTTTCGAAAAATAGCTAATCAATGGCTTCCATTTGCAAATGAGAATCCAGTGATAAATAGACGTTAGGTATAGGTTACCTTATTTTCTCTACCTGACCAAAATTATAATGTGTCCCATTATGATGGAGGTTCCCAAGAGCCTGGAACGGTGGCTGTTTATTGATCAGTCCCGGTTTCTCTGGCTAACATTGCAGGCTGAGATTTAGTGAGCCTCGCCCTCATGTTTAAAACTGCTCTAAAACAGTACAGGTCAATAACCTCATTATACAGAACTAGTTTGTCCTTGCAAACAACATTACCATGACTTAGACTCTGTCTCTAAGGTCACTGATTATGCTTGGCCCAAGCTTCATTTCTAGAAAATTGTTTGTTTTTCTTTGAGTTTACAAGGGGCCTTTCCTTAGGTAAATGTAAAGTTGTAGTCTAAACATACAATATCCAAACACCGGATGCTAAAAGGCACAGATTTGTGTGTAGAAACTGATAGATATTTATTCAGGAATACCTTGTTACCGTTCCTAATATCCAGATAATAATAATAATAATAATAAATAATCATCATCATTTGCATCCAGTTCCAAGGCTGGTTTGGTAATTTTCATGGAGCAACACTGTGTTCAGTATTTAGATTGAAGAGCTGGAGAAGGTCCCAAAAGCAGCAAATTTCAGGGTTTCTGCTGATGCTCTGACGAAAGCCGGTCCCTAGGCAGACACTTTCCTTGGTTAACAGAGTGACTCTCCTAGTAAGCAATGAAACAAACAAACGGACCATTCCAGAGGTCTACTCTGTCTACTCTTGCTTGCTTCTCAAAGACTTGATGCAGGGTTTGGCACAATTGTTACACATTACAGATATGCACTGAAATTGTCTTTCACTTCTCTGCCTTTGTTAAAAAAAACAACAGAGGGAAAATTCTTAATTGAAGGTCAACGAGAAAATTTTTATCTTAATTATATGTAAACAATCCAAGCAGTTGATGCTAACATCACACCTCCCACTCAAGCCTTCAACTCCTGGGCCACTTGGAGATCAGAACCGTGTCTTAGTGAGCATTATCTACTTTCTGCCTTCGCATTACTGATATAAAAGGGGAATTAGCTTTCTGAAATAAAAGGAAGAGCAAGGAGGTGCTAACTTTCCTTCTCATCTGCATTCCTTAAAACCATTTTGTAGAGTGAGCACTTTCTTTCCTTCTGGTCTCTCTCTCTCCTTCCACATTTCCTTTTAAGTCAGCTCATTTTGGAGACGTAGAACTTAAGTGAAAACTCATTCTGGTTCTACCATTTATCCCTTGGGTTTCGAGGAGAATCAACCTATCAAGTTGATAGAGGCAGAAGGGCAAGATTGACTTGGGAGAGTGGGGGTGTGGAGAAATAGTTGATTCACATGCAACTTTTCATATGGACCATGACCTTGGAAACACCTGAACATGAGCTGGGGTTTGTGGGAGCCTGAAACACTAGAGGCTCAGAAACCACCTCATAGTTCAGGATATGGAATCCAGCACAGCAAGACGACAAGCTGTAGAGACTGTTTAAATCTCTGCATGGATCAAAAACCTCTTTTTCAAGGTCAGGGGATGATTTTTCTGACGGGTGATCCATTGCTCTGAAAATACATACATAAAGCCCCTTTCAATTTTCATTTTATATATCCAGGTTTAAAAATTGTGCTATTCCTAACGCCTTTTCTCCTTAACATCCAGGTTTCTCACCCCTTCATAGAAGGGAAAGGGGTCTGAGTAGCCTGTAGCATATTTTCATGAAAAAAGTTTGGTTCTGTTTTGGGGGGAAGTTTCATTTGGAAATGATAAGTTATGGAGAAGAAAGTGATATATACATATACGTACACACATACATAAGATCTAGTGTTTAAATGGATAATTAGTATATCCTCCGCTTACAGACGTTCTAATTGAGGACATAGCAGAGCATGATTCTGTTTCTTAGGAAACTGTCTATTGGCACCTCCACACGCTGCATCAGACAGCCTGTCTGTCCGGCTCCTGTGCTCACCTCCCAAGCTGAGTTCTCTTTGGGAGCTGGCCTCATCCCTGTTGAGTTTTTTTCCCCTTTTCCCTCACTTCATCAAGTTCTCTAGGATTCCTTTAACGTTCAAAGATAGTAAATTTTTAGTTTCCTTTTTTGTCATCCCCAACTAACCCACTTCCTTATTTTCTTTGAGAATTTCCCGTTAAAGGTCAAATATATTGTTACGAGACAGTTCTACTAATGACATAAACGTAGCACTAGATCTCTGATGCAAAATTACTGGAAAATTTTTAGAATAATGTGACTGAAGAAATAAGCATTCTTGTTTTGCTTTCTATCTCCTCTTTCTCCCCCCTACACATGCTCACGCACACACACACACACACACACACACACACGCACGCATGCACAGTTTTCTTTCATTTGATTTGTATCTGGTTCCTTCATCTTCCGAAAGTGAAGATGAGTCAGATAAATTAGATAAATTGTTAAACATTTTGCTTAAGTTATCCCTTTGGTAATAATATTTTATGATAATGCTGCTGATGGAATCTTTTTTAATACATTCCACTTTCCACAGAGTAATTTTGCAGTTTAAAAGCAGCAATTACAACTGCCATCAGTAACAACAATATTGACAACCACTAAAAAAAAAAAAAAAAAAAGGCAGTTATTTGGTTTTTAAGGTGTTTTCTTTTTTAACTCTCTCTTGAACTAAAGCAGTTAGAAGACATTTTCTTCTATTGATCCTCGTTCTTTAACTCAACGTGCAACCCTACTCTTTCTATTAAAATGTTTTCAATGTGTATATGTATTTTGGACTACTTATATCAACTTCTATATATCAGAAGTGAGAGCATCAATGAAATTTAAAATGTCTTGGTTACTTGCTGAAGTGATGAGATGAAGACAGCTGGTTTGCTTTGCTAACTTTTTAGATTATAAAAACAAAATCTGGTTACCATGAATCTAATGATATATTTTACTAATGTTCTTGAATTCCTTTTTAAATGTAACAGAAAATGTAAGGTGTTCAGGGCCTTCTGGATTTGGCCGAAATGTTCCACCCCAACCTTTAACACAAAAAAATTGCCATAGACGAATGGTCAAGAGGGCAGTTATTATCTCCCAGGCATCATTTCCTCAAATAGTAGCTGCAGAATGACAGCATCATTAGTCATTTTCAATTAAAGTCAGTCACAACCAGGGATGTTTCATTTTCCCAGCTGTTTTGTTGTTAATTAACTAGATTAAGCTTGTTTTTTCCCAGCAAGTTTGTTCTACTGCTAATATCAACATCATAACATTTCCAAGAACTTCCTTAGGGTTTATTTGATCGCCTGAAAATTTTTAATACATTGCGACAGATGTGTGTCTGAAGATTTTTAGATGGTATAGCAGGTTGAATGGTGTGTCTTATTGGTCAAAATCTTGCCTAACGAAATATTACATTTATAACAATATTTGGCTTTCATACATGCTCTGTCAGGCACATGATCTAGTTTATCTGGTGCAATGTTTTTTATAACATCAGAAATCAGTAGAGAGATAACAGTCCTAAGTCTGTCCCCCTGGAATGAATAGGTCCATTTTGACTCACGCATTTGGTGAACATAATTTCCATGTCAGTGCTTATAGAAAAAGTTGGGAGAAGAATACAGAAAGAAAGTAACAATATTGGAGATATTTGATAATTTATTAATACATGAGTAGCAGACTTTCTTTTTTTTCAGAATTTCATTTTTTAAGCATATAAGTTAGGTTTACAACTGAGGAAAAGTCTTTGACTGTGAGAGGCTGAATAAATGCTAATTATATATGCTTGAAAATAAGGAGAGCCCCACCTTCCCACAGGGAAAATAAGATTTATAATAGATTTTTGAGCAACTTATGAACATTTAGGAATGAGGATGAGATTGCAAATGTTGGATTATATTTAATTTCTTAATTGAACAGCATTTCCATCTTTTAAATCTCATTTTACAGAATAACTCACTTTTGAGAAATATTGCTTTTGCCGTGTTATATTTTATGAAACAGATTCACTTACACTCTTCATATGTATATTCCAGAATTCTAGAGCTCACCATCTTCCTTCTAAGTTATTTGCAAAATGGAAGGCACAGTTTGAATTCCCGTATGATGCCATTAAACCTGTCCATCCGAAGACTACTAGGAACATACCTATAATGAAAAAGTTAGGATTTTTAGCTTACCACAGCAAGGGAGAAATCTTTCCAGGGAGACTGTGGGGCATCTCAGTAAGAGGGGGTTAGAAAGAGCTGCTTATGGGGTTCGGTTGGCTAGATGATTCTCAAGAGGGATTAGGGAAATGGAAGCCCATTTGGATTAGATGCTGTCAACAGAGTCAGTGTGGTGATTGGGTATCTTTAATTGGGTGACTTAATAATGATTTTTATCTAGAAGGTGAGGGGATTGAAGCGGGACAGAGATGTGACTGTTGAAATAGCAGTGCTTTATATTAGTCCTTTTTGTGGTGGCAGAGTGGCCTCATCTCTGTATTGTTGACACATGGCCCTTTTTTTTTTTTTTACTTTTTTTTCCAGCTTTTTTTGTTCACAATAATACAAACAAGACAGAAGAGACATTATGAGGGCTCTAATAATATGAGTCAACTCATGTCTGAGGAAATACTTGGAGGGAAGGTCTCACTTGAGGCTTACTCAGTAGCTTGTGCTGGAACTGGGCAAGCATTTAGAGATTTGAATTTCACTCCTGGCCCCCAGTTGTATTAACTGCATTCATAAAGATAGACATAGAGACATATATGTCTCAATTACAACATTCACACGCATGTCTGTGTACATAGAGCCGTGGGTGGATTCAGTTATTTATGTGGCCGATATTAATTTCTTGCCAGATACTGACACAGGAGAAACATGTAAGATTTTTAAATTTGGAAAATTCCAAACTCGCATGGAGTTTAAAACTGTATTCTGTTTTAAATTTAAAAAGGAAAGCTATACTCTGAAATCATTTTTTTATTTTTTTTTTATTTTTTTTCTTTTTTTTTTTAAAGATTTTTTTTATTTATTTATTTGAGAGAGAGAGTGAGAGAGAGAGAGAGCACAAGAGGGGGGAGCGGGAGAGGGAGAAGCAGACTCCCTGCCAAGCAGGGAGCCCGATGCGGGACTTGATCCAGGGACTCCAGGATCATGACCTGAGCCGAAGGCAGTCGCTTAACCAACTGAGCCACCCAGGCGCCCTGAAATCATTTTTTTCTTATGCTTATTTTCTGCTCTTGGTAAAGAATAAATTTCACATTGTTTGAGATAATTGTCTTAACATTTAATGATTATATACAAGCAGCTTTTATACCATGGAACATAATGCTCAGCTGCAAAGGTCCCCTCTAATGAAACTCAGTTTACCATTTTTAAGAAATGCTCTCCAAGTTTCTCCCTCTGGGTAAAATAGGAATCTCCTACGATGGCCGATTTTTGAGGGGCTCTCGTGGGGAAAGCCTGGGGTCTGCAATGGACTTAGCATGTTCAAAATTTTCAAATTCTGGAAATCTAATCCAGGAATGGGACTTGATCATTATTATCTCCACTCATTTTATATTTAAAGATGTTGAAATTTAGACATATATTTCATTCCCTTAAATCTGGTTGAAGAGTATTAACATGGTGAAGAAATCATTACCTTCTATAGATTTGTACTGAGCCCTACTTCAAGTTCGTTATGTGAGGAACGCTGCATTACTCACTGCAACCAAATGTGTTTTCCTACCTGAAAGGAGTTGACGGCCTGATAGCAAAGATGGGAGAGTAGAAAATTTGGGCACTTGCCAGAGGACCAAAAAGCAAAAGCAAACCAGACCAACAAACAAAACTTCTGTAATATATAGATCATCGAATTCAACTCTGAAGTACGTGCGAGACTTAAAGAAGTTGAGAGAATATTTTTGTCACCAGCTGAATCAAAATCTATTGCTAATCATTATGAAAGTTTGGGGAATATACAATTCTGAGCTTACTGCATTTTTGACACCGAACAGGGTCCTCAGATGTTTGTGGTACATTGGGGGCTCTTCTTCATTTTTTTAAATTTCTGCATTTGAAATTATACCCATTGAAATTTACCCATCTGAAAATAACAGTGGGCAAGATAACATTCGAATAAATGAATAGACTGTTCTGAATGTATATATTAATAAAAGGGAACTGAATATATAAACATGGTATTTTTAGGATAACCAAAACCTTGTTCTTTATGCATTGAAATATTTTTATTTTAATATTTTAATGCAAATTTTTATTGACCATCTTCTCTTTTGCTTCATTAAGTAGTGCATAATAACTAACCAACAATTTGATAGTACTTTGCAGTTCATGGAGTTCTTTTCTCATCAAATATCTCATTTAGTTTCTCCAACAAAGCTATGAGTCAGGTGGTGGTGTTATCTCCACGTTTCAAGGATGATAAATCTGAGTGACCTATCCGATTTGCCAACTATCATGTAAGCCGTAGCAATGAGTTAAGACTGAAATCCGGGATTTCTAATTCTAAAACACGATGGAATTGAAGCTTTTCCTTATTTTCAGGAGCATCGTTATAAATGTCAGTTACCATTCTGTTTTGTTGTGCACTGATGCACATGGAATATGAAGTTTAATACAATTGAGAGCCAGATGAAATAGTTTGCTTTTAGAAGCCAGATTGTAAGATAACTACATATCTTTAAATATTAGAAGCAAACTCAATGCGGTGAGAGGCTTACACTATGAGAAGAAAGTTGAACCTAAGGCTACCGTAGGAACAGAAAGCTCCCGTCTCTCCTTGGCCACTCTGGAGCCATATGCTCATTGAGTGAAAGCGAGGGCAGATGCCAGCAGTACTGAAATCAGTCTGTAATCGTGCAGTCTCTTTGTCTCAGCACATGTAGGTGACTTCCTGTAAGTTAAATGATGTATGATGAGACCTCACCGTATGTTGCCCTGTTAGCCCTTCCAGAAATGACCAAGACCTCTACATTTTCTCAATATCTACTTTTATGTTTATTATCTCCTCCCTATTATCTGTTGCTACTTTTTGTTATCAGCATGGTTATTCTTAATATTCTGTCCTTGTGAAGTCACTGCAACTTTGCAAGGGAAACAGGAGACCAAATCTGTATTAATTCATTAGCTTTTTTATAATATTTAATTCTCAGCGTTCAGCTCTGAGATCAGAATAGAAAAATATCTTCCACATGACGTGACTTTCAATGGTAGTATTCCTCACTGATCAGAGGTATTGTTTGTTTCCTTTTGGATTCAAGACTTATGTTTCAATAAATAAAGAGTTATATTCATTGATGTGATAATAAATGTTTCACAACATGCACTGTGGACTAAAAAAAATTAAAAGCCCTGGTTTGCTGTCATGTCAGACACAATAGACATAAGGAACCTCAAGAGCAGAGATGATATAAATTAGGAAGTGATGAATTTTTAGTATTTGTTTTAAGACTTATTCCCTTGGCAGCTTTTGTTAAATGGGATTTCTTTTGTTTTTTTTTAAGATTTTATTTATTTATTTGACAGAGATAGACACAGCGAGAGAGGGAACACAAGCAGGGGGAGTGGGAGAGGGAGAAGCAGGCTTCCCGCCGAGCAGGGAGCCCGATGCGGGGCTCGATCCCAGGACCCTGGGATCATGACCTGAGCCGAAGGCAGGTGCTTAACGACTGAGCCACTGAGGCACCCCTTAAGTGGGATTTCTTAAGAGAATTAAGTGCTACAGAAAATGACTTAAGGACCAGTTTTCTTATTTCTTTCAAGGATGGTGCATATCCAGTCGATTGTCAATGCTTAGATAACTCATTGGGTATAATGATCACCGTAGGCTTTGGTTCTGGACATTCAGCATCAGCATCAACTAGAAAATTGTAAGCAGTGCAAGTTCTTGGGTCCCACCCAAGATCTACTGAATCTAGAACTCTGGGACTGCGGCCCAGCTCTCAGTGGTTTCACACAGCCTCCAGGGGACTCTGATGATCCTAAAGTATGAGAACTGCTGCTCCAGGGCATTAGGACTAATTCTCTACCACCACTCCCCTCCCCGCCAGTCCACTGAAAAAGTTTTCCCTAGGACCTTAGACTTCTTTGCTTCCAGCCAGCAGAAAGGGTAGAGAAGCCTCACAGATTCTTTAAAAGCCTCAGCCCAGACCTGACATCTATTACTTCTGTTCACATTCTACTGGCAATAACTAACCATACGGCTAACCACTGGTGTACTGGACTCACCTCCTATCTGCTCATCAGGGTCTTTTGTCAAATTTTCAGGCTTTTTGTGAGCCACTTGCCATCTGGGTCAAGGGAAACTGGCTATGGTGGGAGTATTGCCACCCCAGAAATTGGCAAACACGAAAATTAGGATTTTTTTTTTCCAGAGAGTCAGTTGTTATACCAGCACGCTGCTGGTCACATACAGGCTTGGTGACTCCACGGGGAGCCCTGCAGCTGAAATGACACTTCAGAATTGTCCTGCTCTGAGCAAAATGGGCCGAGCCTTTATACCCTCACCTTGGTCATTGAATGAGGGCTGCCCTGGGAAGGGCTTGCTCTGCATCTGAGATAGTTCCTGAAGGACCACTCTGCCATCTTTTCCACCATTTGGGACAAGAGTCCTTCCTTGAAGTGAACTCTGAGTGTCCTATCCCCATGTGTACCCCAGCCTCTCCCTTTGAGAGGTGCTAATATAATCGATCTGGGGTGAGCCAGGACATGACCATATTTTTTAATGTTCTCTGGATAATTCTTCTATGCAACCACACTAGATACTCTTCAAGAGGGTCAAGACAGTTGCTGAGACGACAATGTTTTTTGTCTGCGTTTGTTTTCTATTCATTAAGGTTTGCGCTCTACTTCCTTTAAATGAAATTGTGCCTGGATTTGTAGGGCGGTTGGCTAAAATAATTATAATACCTTTGAAAGGAGCTGTACCTAGAAAAATTAATTTAGAAGTAAAATGCAATAGAAATACAATAATGTATTCACAAAATGAATTCATAACAACATGAGTTATCTTCAAGACGTTAATGAAATAAATAACACGTATGCTTTTCTTTTCAAGAGAAAGCTGGAAGATCTGAGCTCTGATTGGAAGGCGGTAACCCACTTACTTCAAGAGCTGAGGGCAAAGCAGCCTGGCCCAGCTCCTGGACTGAGCACTGTCGGAGCCCGTAAGTATGCCCGATCACATGCTGTTTGGCGGCAGTCATTTCAAAAGCACAACAGTGAGGTGATCTCTGGATATAAGGGAAAATCGGCTGCAGTTATGAAAATAGGAATAAGCTTTAGTGTTATTTACTATGCAAAATGCCTTAGAGCAGGTTCCTTGGAAATGGACTCTGATTCAGAGTGCGGGATGACAAGAGTATATTGGGGTGTGTTCTCCAGAGCTACATCTATGACAAAGAAAGGTACAAGGGAGTAGACGATGGAAGAGGCTGAAGGGTCATTTGACTGTAATAGAGGGAGCCTGAGAGTGGGGCTGACTCTGCAGGCTGTCCGGATTGGCAAGGAGAGGGATGGCCTTTGTATTCCTGAACCAGCCAGTCATTGCCCATTTGGGGGCTGCCTAGTGGGGTGAAAGGGAGACCTTGAAAGAGTATTTCTGGGGCCGAATTCCTAGTGAGGAATACCAGCAACAACCGATACTCCCAGCAGCAGGGATGGGTGTGTTGTTCCTGAAGAGGGGATCAGGGTGGGGTACCTGAGTACCAACTAACGCTAGGTACGTGAGGATTCTGTCTCAGTGAATCCTCTATCATTTGGACAGTATTCTTCGAATACGCCGATGCAAATCGCTGAAACCACAGGAATGCACGTGGTCCTCCTGCCCCACCCCCATCCCTTTGGAAAACAATTTTAAGAGCTCTTCCATGTTTGGTTCAGGAAAAAGAAAAGTAGACCCTGACTACCAAAAGCAGACTTGGGAAGGAATGTTTCTTCATTTAGCCCAGCTTTGACTTGTTTTTCCTGAATACTTTCAGTTTATTTTACTTCACTTTTTATTCATCTGTTAATGGAAGGTATGCATAAAATCTCGTGGCAGTGTTAATGCTGGCTTTGGATCTCGGGAAAGGAACCAGAAAACTTGGCTGTGCTAGTTCTGTAATTAGGCAGAATTAAAAACATCTTGGGGGCGCAGGAGGGGGTGGTGGGGGTTGGGGGGGCGTTGTTTCTATTTTGGCCTTGTCTATTTTTCAAAGATCAAATAATTGAAGTATTAAAGCCTGGTGACTGGTTCTTGAAGTAAAGATGATTTTTATTTTATATCAAGTAGAAATAAAGCACACTGGTAATATCACACCCTGGGGAGCACACTGATAATTCAGTAGAAGGCATAAGTAGCGTTTGGGTTAAAAGAGGTCATAGAATCTAGGGACAGTGTGTCTCGTGTGTCCCCTGGGGTTTCTGAGTCCTCATCAGAGTTCCATTTCATGACATTGGAAACTTGAAAAAAGATATGCAAGCGTTCTTGTTTTGTTTTGCTTTTGCTTTGTTTTGTTTGGTTTGGTTTTGTCAATCTGGGACACTAAAATTGCTATGTCAGCGTTTATCTTCAAGTAATTGTATCAGGCTTATTTCTTTTTATGACCTGTAATTTTTGGTTCCCTCAGCACACATGCATAGCTTAGTTCCTATATAATCATTTATTGGTGTTTGTTCTCTAGCTTTCTCTGGTATGTTCAGCCTCACTCTGTAACTCTGTAAAAAGATTGGGCTCCAATGATCTGTTTATAAGTTTGTTGAACTCTGAACATAATTATGGGTTTATGCTCCTACTTAAGCCACTTTACACATGGTAGGAAGCTTGTTAAGCGAGGGCACAGAAATCTATTTAACCTATAAAGTACCTAAATGTAACAATAATGTTTGTAATGGAAAATGCATTTCAAATTCCAGTATGGATTTCCAACAACACAGGTAATTTATTCACTTGGTAAGTATTTATTGAGTAATTTTTGTGTAGTGGGCATCATACGGGGTGCTGAGAATAATAAATCAAATAAGGTAATCTCTCCGTTCATGAAACGTGTGCTCTGACTGGAAGAGAATAATAATGAGCTAATAAAGAAGAAAAATAGATACAATCTCGATACTGTCAGGTGTTCCATAGTGCAGTCTATAGATTGACGTCAAATGGGCACTTGTTAGAAATGCAGAATCTCAGGCCTTATCCCAGACCCAGTGAATCAGAATCTGCATTTTAATAGGCTCCCCAGGTGATTCGGTGTACACACTGAAGTTTGAGAAATGCAGTTAAGGAGAACAAGAGACCAGGGTAGGAGAGAAAGGGAGTGGGAATGAAGACATAATTGTCTGTAGTTTGGTCAGGAAAGCTTTTCTACTAAGAGAAGAACATTTGAGAACATCAGGAAGCTGATAGAAGTGAGGAGGTGAGCTATGCATTTATGTGGGGGAAACTATTCTAGTAGGCACAGAGAGAACAGAGCAAAGGCCTTGAAGTAGCGCAAGATGGGGGAATATCAAAAAGACCAGTGATACCAGAGCAGAGGGCAAGGGGACATGTGGCCGAAGCACTGGGTGACAGCATCTTTCCCAACTCCTGCCCTACTTCCTTCTCCCCCACCTAAGAGTCCCACCTCCCCCTACTCCCTCCACGTTGCTAGTAGGGAGAGTCTGGGAATGCCCTCAAGCTCCAAGCCACTGGGGAGAGCTGGTGGAGTTGGTATGAGAGCTGGAGAAGAACTGAGGGAGAGAGGAATTTTCTCAAAAGCAGGGGCTTTTCATCCCCTGTAGCAAACTGACACAACGCTGGGCATAAAGCAAAAATGTGAAATGCACAGTTGAATGAAAAGCATCAATAAGGAGGCTGGTAGATCCAGAGCCGCTTTTATTCAAATAGAACATTCTTCTTTCTTTAATGTGGTGGTTTAAACATCAGAATTAAGAATTATTTATATTCCTGACTTCCAGAAAGTTAATCGGGAATAAATACAATATAAAAAAGGAGAATCTAATTTGTAGGATACTTCATATATATGATTATTACCTCATGGACTATGTTGTAATACAGTATATTTTTAGAACTCATCATAGCAAGTTTTCTCCATTGCACTTCTGTTGTGCTACTCACTTTTCCATATATGCTTTCATCTTCAAAATAATTGCAAAATACATAAATGTGCAATTTTTATAAGGTGAGTATCCCACGGCTTGGAGAGGAAAATAGCTAGATTAAGACCACACAGCTGGGAAGAAACAGAGCCAGGATTCCAATCCAAATATGTCAGGCTCCAAAGCCTGTGTTTTGTTTTGTTTTGTTTTGTTTTGTTTTGTTTTTTGCTGTGCCTTGCACTATCTCTCCAAGAAGCTAATGGAAATTCTAGATATGGAAACAGCTAGCCAGCGGTTAATGTTATTTAACTCAATCTTGGATGTATGAGGAATAAAAGTGAGATATGTTGCTGTGTTTTTTCTACTTAAGGAGTAGAAGAAATCAATTTATTCTGTTTGAATTTCTTAGAGCTATTGAACTCTGAACCTGGAATAATCATTGAAATTTTCATCTGGCTGAATATTTTTTATGTGTGTAGAAACTGAGGCCCCAAGGGCTTTTTTAAAAAATACTAAACTAAGCTCCCTTATGGCTGCCTACTTAAATTATATAATATGATAAGGCGATCCTGCCTGAGCCATATAAATTGTTTCAATTTATAAGATAAATAGGCATGCTGGAAAAAAAAAAAACAAAAACAACAAAACAACTTTTTTACAGTCACTGTTGCTTGGATAGCTGAGTGTATCAGTTACCTGTCTCTACATAAAAGCACCACAAATGTAATGGCCTAATACAAAAGGTATTTACCTGCTCATGATTCTGTGGGTTTGCAGTTTGGGCTGTGATGAGCCAGATGGTGCTTCTGAAGGTCTTGCTAGGGGTCGTTCATGGGCATGCAGTTCTCTGGCGCCTTAACAGGAGCTAGATAGTCGAAAACGGACTCACTCAAATATCTGATAGCCAGGGGCGCCTGGGTGGCTCAGTTGTTAAGCGTCTGCCTTTGGCTCAGGTCATAATCCCGGGGCCCGGGGATCGAGCCCCGCGTCAGGCCTCCCCGCTCAGTAGGGAATCTACTTCTCTCTTTCCTTCTGCCCCTTCCCCCCACTTGCGCTTGCTCTCTCACACGTCCTCTCTCTCTCTTAAATAATAAATAAAATCTTTAAAAAAATTATCTGCTAGTCGGCTGTTGGCTGGAGAACCTTGGTTCTTCACAAGGCCTCTCCTCCAGTAGGCTGGACCGGGCTTTCATTGTATGGCATCCTCAGGACAGTGCATCAAGAGGGTGAGAGTGGGAGCCACAGGATTTCTTGACACCTAGACTCTGGAATTCATACAACATCACTTCTGCAGTGTCATTGCAAAGGGGCTGCATACATGGATGGGAGATGTTATCGGGGCCCTCTTTTCACACAAGTGACATTGGGGAAAAGTGGGGAAAGCCAAGATAAAAGTCCTGGTCTATATCCATTGTCCTATGCCAATGGTTCTTGAGCTTTACCTTCATGAAAATCACCCATTTCTCATTAAAGCACACATTGTTAGGCTTCCACCCCAGCGTCACTGAGTCAGGAGATCTGGGCTGAGGCCTGAGAGCTTGCATCTCTCAAAAGTCCCCAGGTGGTGCTACTGGTCCTGGGGTTGCACTTTCAGAACTACCAGCATGGGCCTGAGTGGTGACAGGAAGGAGTTCATCCGTACTCCTGCGTGCAACGTGGAGCAGCATTTGAGTGAGATCCAGCGCTGTGGATGCCAGAGGGAACTCCATGATATTTTAGCACCTCCACTTCTCTCCCCACCCCCACGAACTCTGTAACTTGAAAGTTCAAGAAGATGGACTAAGCACTAAGCCCAGGCAGCTTTGGCCTAGCCGAGCAGCTCAGAAATCTAAGGGAAGAATAGCCACACTTATACAGAGCTTCCCTAGAGATTCTCGGGAACATTTAGGTAGACAGGACTTCGTATGGGACTGAAGGACTGCATGGCAGATGGAGGCAAAGAGCCAGCAAATCTGGTTGTAAATGTCAATGCGAATCCTTTCTTATCCACAAGCTGCTGGGGCTGGGAACGTTCACATTCCACAATACCCGATTTAGCAGTTTCGAAATAAACTGCATATAGAAGATACTAATGTGAAAACTCCAAATCAGGATATTGGAGTTCTTCAAATGTCCCAGGGTAATAACTATGAAATGAATGACCATTGTATATATAGACACATAGAAGAGCCCGTTAATAGAGGTTTCTAATTGATTAAACACTGGTAAAACCAATCCCTTCCTGTAATTAATTTTGGAGAGAGCAAGTCTCAAGTGTAATCATGAAAGTGCTGCATTAGAGGTCAAGAAGCCTAAATTCTAATCTCACTTGTGCTATCAACTTTTTGTAAAGAGCCAGCTAGTAAATAT